TTTTTAGTGTTTATAGGACACGAGTGATTCGATTTCTTCAGACAATGTTGCAATTTCATCTAAAAAATATTTTTCACTAAATAAATGCGTTTAATTCATAATTTAGGTTTCAGAACACTGGTTTAGATTTATTTTTCTTTCTTTGCGACGTGTACTTTAAAAACCGTTCTATAGGTCAGTATTAAGTGGCCCAGAGAGAAGAAAATGGCTCAAAATTTTTAAAAATTTATCTAAACTGCAATTTTGATAGATTTTTTATTGTATAACATTAAAACCATTTTCGGTCCTATGGTTTTTTTACAGGTTTATAGGAATTTCTTTCGTTTAAGTATTCACTTGGAACCACATTATGAACATCGGCATTGAAATTGTGTGCTCTTAAATTGGAACTACTCCTTCATAATTACACATAAAAGAAATTAAATTCGCTAGGAAACGGACTTTTCTTTTAGTTCGTAAATAAATGAAATGTTTATGAGTATCCTTAATGTTAATTTATATAAAAATTTAATAAACCTCTATTTCATTTATTTCAAAATTACTGTGAATTATTGAGATGACGTGTTTGATGTTCTGAAATTTATAACATACCTTACAATCACAGTACCTATTTTCAAGACTTCCATTGTTTTACATCTCTGTACATAATATTGTGGTGAAAGCAATTTATTTTAAAAACATTACTTAATGATGTTCCTTTTTACTTTACAAACGCAAGGAATGAGACATTAAAAAAAAATTTGAATAAAAAATGATAAATTTTTCAATGTAGGGTAGAAAAACAAATCAAAACCGTAGGAGAAGTTGTTTTTCTATAAATTATTTAAATTTTCCACTTCAGTATGCAAACGTACATGTATTTAAATAATACATATATATATATATATATAAGTTAACACCCTATAGTTTCTTTCTCAACGATTAGCTACACGCGCCGTCCAATTTTAGCTAATTCAACATTTATTTCATTTTATTTCTCACATTCTTTATTGCAACATTTTTTATGCTGAAATTAACTCAACTAACTGAAAACGCATCATCAGCATATTTCAACATCATGAATGAAGCGCGTGTTATGCAGGTAGAATAAAAACGCTTTTTATAAAATTGTTTTTTATTAAATTATTATTGTTCTGAACTTGGAATAAAAAACACGTAAAAATAAAATAAAGAGTTTTTTATTGAAAATTTTATTAAAATAAAATAACGGTTTTTTTGTTAAGATAGTTTTTTTGAATAAAACTTTCTAACTCCAAAGGGTAGGAGTTATCTGGCGCCCGAGCAGGGACCACCCAAGTTATGAGAGTTGTGAATGAATAGCACTGAAAAAAATAAAAGATAAAAAAATATAGAAAAACCTGGAAAAAAATAATACAAAAACAGAAATAATAAAAAGTAAAAACTTGTGAAGTATTGGAACAAAAAATAAAAAAAAAAAAATAATAAAAAAAAAAAGAAGATAATAAAAACTTGTGAAGTATTGAAATAAATAAAGGAAACTTTAAGTTCAAAAAATTTTTTTTTTAGAGATAAATTTTAAGAGTTCAAAAAATAAAATTAACAAAATCTTGAGACAAATTAAAGATAATAAAACATTTTTTTTTGATTAAATTAAATTTAAGATTCAATAAACAGTAAATACAATTAATTTCCTATAAAAATAATAAAACATTTAACATAAAATATAAAGATAATAAAACATTTTTTTTGATTAAATTAAATTTAAGATTCAATAAACAGTAAATACAATTAATTTCCGGCAGTGCTAGAAGAATTCCCCTCTACATAACGCGCAGCAAGTAGGCGAAAAGCCGAATTTGCTACAACAATAGAGTGGGAAAAGGTGCCCCGGAGTAATCTAAAAATAGATAAAACGGAGTTGCTGCACGGAGCAGGCAAAAAATACTGTGAAAGACTACCAATACTTAAAGCTCGCTTGAGTCTGGGTGAGCGGTATTTAGAGCCTGACTCTACAAAGTGTCAGTTAACAGCGGCCCACTCGTTGTAGCAAAAGACTGCAGGTGGAACCTAATCAGATGGCAATCCAACTGGTTTTCATGGTGTAAGTTAACAATTTTCCTTTTTATTATACAAGTGTTGCTTACCTGAAAAGAGAAAAAGAAATCATAAGTCAAATAAAAATTAAACAGTCTATAAAAAATAAAAAAAAAAAAAAAAAAAAAAAAATAATAAAAAAATAATAAATAAATACAGAGTTAACGTCAACAAGTATCCTTAAATAAAAGGAGAAAAGGAGACCTGTATTTCGAAAAATTTTCACTTAAATATCATACAAGCTAAATAAATAATTACAAAGAAACTTGTTATTGCAAACATAAAGAAAGTTAAAGAAAATAAAAGTACAAAGATTTTGAATAAAAATTATTGATATAAAATTATAAGGATCCTACTCTCGTAAACAAGTATCCCCATCTGTAGGGAGAAAAGAGAGAGTTTTTTTTACAAATTACTGCAATTACATAAAAATAAAAGATCTTAAGACAAATCAATTGCGCTGATCAGCTGTAGAAATTAAAATATAGTAGAAATAACCGTAGAAAATTACAACAAAAAAAAAAATAGAAAATTTAATGCTTAACCTAATTCAAAGTAATAATAGTGCTCATTAATCTTTAAACATACGCTCTAGCTTATTAACTGTAGAATAGAAATTATAGTGCCTAGTTTAATATTAGTGCTTATGAACTTTTAAACTCTATAAATAAAAATTATATTAAAATTGCTCTACTAACAATTTAATTCACTAATTTTACTAAATTAACTAACCTAAAAATCAACTACTAATAGTACTAATGAAACGCAAATTAAATTTTTAAATACAAAAAAAGAAGGATTAAATATTTGATAATTTATATCCCTTACACAATATCCACAAAAATATTGAAGAAATCTTCTGTATTCTTGTCTTAAAATAATAATAAAGAATTAAAGCATTAAATATTAAATAGATTATAATAATTGTTACAATTTTTGTGAAAAAGGAAAAATTATAATAAAGGTTAAATAATTTTAAATTAGATTTCCTTTTAATTAAATGGTAATTAAGATTTAAACAAAAAAATTAAAGATAAAAAATAAATAAATCGATTTTTTTTTTTTTCTTCCCAAAAATTTTTCTGTGTAATTCATTTGAAATTTCCAATTTTTCTCAGCGTTTTAATCATTAAATAGTAATAGCATTTAATATTTATGTAAATAAAAAAAAAAAAAAATAATAATAAAAATATAACTAAAACAAAAACTGTATAAAGAATAAAAGATTAAAACAAACATAAAGATTCCGATGCTTAGTAAAAATTAAAACTTTCCGATTCCGATTAAATTTAGTAAAAATTAAAAATCAAATTAAACAACTAGAAATAGAAAACTGGAGATTTCAAAATAATAATAAAATTTTTATCATTGAAACCACAAATCATCCTTATTATTTTAGGAAATAATTTTTTGAAAAAAAAATATTACTCAAGAAAATAAAATTTCAATAAATAAATTTCTAATTTCACAGGATAATAATTTTTATTATTTTACTATCAAAATATGAGATAGAGGTTTTAACAAAAATTCTTGACAAGGAAAATTTTCCCTATTCAAATGCTGAAGAAGCTCTAAACTTTTCAAATATAAAAATAATCACTAACGACACTTGCTTATTTTATTTAATTGAAATACCTTTAACCAAAAATAATGTATTCGAAAAATTGTTGATAAAACCTATCAAAACAAATAATATTGTAATAAAATTAGAATATAAGGAAATATTATACGGAAAGGATGATTTGTACAAAATTATAAAAGAATGTAAAATAATTGGAAATATAACAATATGTAAAAATGATAATATTATTAGTTTAAAAAATTCTACCTGCATACCAAACCTTCTAAGAGGAAAGAATTCAACATGCAACATGACGAGCAGTTATCACATTCCAACAGTAGAACAACTAACAGACGGAGTAATCCTCCTCAATCAGCATGCTGGTAATATCACCATCGATAACGAGCAGCTCAACACCAATGGGACATATGTTATCAAATTCCATGGTTCCTCAATAATAATAGATGGAGAAAAATTTACTTCCAAGGAGCTATCAACAGTGCAAGTACTTCCGGCAATATTACAACCACAGCATATCATTAAACAATTTCAGGAACACCTATCATTGGAGTATTTAAAAACAATCCACATTAACAATACCAGGCAAATTGATTTACTGAAACAAAGAAATTTTTCTGGACCCACGTTAACACTTATTAGTTTTGGCCCAGCTACAATTGTCATCACGTTTATTATCATAGTATTCATCATAAAAATTTCGAGAAAAACCGGAACCATAGTAATCAAGAACAATCCAGAAATTAGCAGACCATCCCCTACTACAACAGAAAATACGGCACCACTGAAGACAACTACTAACACAACATCAACACCCTGTAAAACACCTCATAGTAAAACACCAAAACCTACCCAGAGAAATTTTTATCGCACCATCAAATTGTAACACCGATTGATTGGGGACAATCAATTTTTAAGCGGGGAGGAGTTAACACCCTATAGTTTCTTTCTCAACGATTAGCTACACGCGCCGTCCAATTTTAGCTAATTCAACAAATAGACATCATCAGCATATTTCAACATCATGAATGAAGCGCGTGTTATGCAGGTAGAATAAAAACGCTTTTTATAAAATTGTTTTTTATTAAATTATTATTGTTCTGAACTTGGAATAAAAAACACGTAAAAATAAAATAAAGAGTTTTTTATTGAAAATTTTATTAAAATAAAATAACGGTTTTTTTGTTAAGATAGTTTTTTTGAATAAAACTTTCTAACTCCAAAGGGTAGGAGTTATCTTATATATATGTGTATTATGTATTAAAATTATTGCACAAAAAATTTAAAAATTTAAAACCTATAATATAAAGTTTTAAAGATTTTAGAGATTGTGCTTACAGTTTTCGTATTATTGCGCTTAAGAAAATTAGTTTCTAACGTCTCTATAACAATTTTCGGTTCTTAATTTAATTTTAGTCACTACAAGTAAAAATTACATTCAAGATATTAAAAATAATTACATTTTTATTTAAATAGAGATGACATCACCTATTGTTTTGGACAGCATAAACAAATAATAAATTTAAATATTATGGAAAACAAGCAACAAGTACATAAATTATAAGAAAATTAAATTGAAAGTTAATTTTAGTTGAAAATAACTGCTTTTTCATATTTTATTGTGTACTCAATCTCATGGCAATTATTTTTAGTAAATTACAATGTTATTTAAATAATTACGTTTTTTTTTTAATAATTCTGGGAATTTACGATAACATTGCCATTTGCATGAATATGAATTTGTACAAAGTTTTCACCAATTTTATTATTAAATATTTGTATATAAGATTTTTCACTTTTCACTAAATAAATAATATTTTTTAAATACAATTGTTGTTTAATTTTTATGTTTTATTGTTATTGTATATTTTTAATGCGTATATATATATATATATATTTACCATAACCTGCTGAAAATCAACTCAACTCAACTCTAAAAAAACGTTATTATTTTGTTATTGTACATTGCACTTTAATTTCTTGTAAAATAGATCTACGTACATACTTATATATACAATTACATTTATAGACTAATAAGCTTGAAATGAACCATAAATTTTTTTAATTTAACTTAAAGCTTCAACTTCATAGAGTTTGTAATCATTTCGAAACATTGAATTCTATATATGTATGTCAGTTTGTACAAAGATCATATTTTACATAAAGCATGAAAGCATAAAAAGTAAAATTTGTGAAAAATGCTATGAAAAATCAGATAATAAAATTTATTTTTTGTTTTTATTGTTATTTTATTTTTTAAATATATTATTTTTCTTAAATGAAAAATGAAAGTTAAAATATCATCAAAAGTAATTATCAAGTTTTATGAGAAAATTAAACAAAAGTATAAGTGGAATTGAGTGAAATTATAGAGTAAGAAAATATGTATATAATTTATGTGTATATGTTCATAATATATATATACAAACAATAAGTAATTAAAATACAAATATAAAATGAAAACAATTGTTTTTTGTTTTTACAAATTTTAGTTTACATTTTCAATAGAAGCACATAATTGTAAAGAATTTGTAATTTGACGGCGTCATAAAAACAAAAGATAAAGGTTAATTTTTTTAACGTTGATATGATTGCAAATAATGGAAGTGTTTTGACAATAAATAATGTAAATATCGTGGGTTAAGAAGCAGAAAGCATTAAGTCAGGAAACCGTGTTTTGAGTAAATTCAATTTGAAAAAAATCGTAAAATTGTAAAACTAATCAATTAGTGCAATGGGATCGGTCTCTTTAATTTCTATTTTCTATAAAAACTATGTTCTGGATTTGCATGATTTTTTGTCACAACAAAGAATATATTTTTCTGATTTAATTCATGTGGATAATTCGAATTCTCAAAAAATGCTTTCTGCCTTTTAACCGACGATATTTGAAATCGAAAAGAATGCGATTAATATACTTATAGGCTTATTCTATAATATTAACCGATTTGTTCATCTTAGAGCAAACATTTGCAAGCAACTTAATAGCCTAATTGTGTATCTTGCATTTTAGCACTTTTTCAAAAATATTTAAAAAAAAGTTTCGTCAAACTATTGGTTAAAGATCCAACTTTATTCATCTCACTTTCTATTCACTTCCAAATCAGAATTACTCATTTCATCACTCATCAAGACTACTTAGTTTTTCAACTGGATGTATGCATTTTTCCTCAAATTATCGACTGAACGTCACACACCCTCAAAAACATAATGAATAAAATTTCTATACATTTTAGAAAAAACGGGATACGCAACACGGAATAATTCTTCTTACTGGAAAATTACATTATACAAATATGTGAGTGTAAGTCACTTTCTTTTCACTTTGCAAGTAATATAGCGAGATACACGATTTGGGTCTTAATATCAAATTGACTTCTGCATAACTCATATTACTTAGAAATTGTTCTGTAGTGATGATAGCATTTGTAGTTACCGTATACAATTAATCAAAAAATACTTGTTACTTTTCAAATTTCGTTATAAAATAGCCACAAATTTAGTGATTTAAAATTTTAAATAAATTAAAATATTCTTACCAGGTTGTCTAAAATTTGTTTTTATTGTTTTTTTTTATCAAAGTTTCTGTTTGAAAGAAAATTTACAATTTTCATAATTTTTTCCTTAATTTATAGTATTTAAGTATTCATAATTCATTTATAATATTTACTAATAAGTACCTGGAATTTCCAAAATCAAGATCAGGTTAATTTGACACAATTATGGTGGAAATTTGTCAGATTATTATTATAATTGCTCCAATTTATCATTTTTAATTTGTTCATAACATACAATTTGTTTTACATTGTAAACAAAATGTTGTTGATTAAAAAATTTGAATGAATCTATTGGAAAATATTGCAAAATTATGAAAATTTATTATTGCCATTTGGTGTAGAAATTTGCGCATATGCTCCAAAATTTTGTAATCGAATATAAATTTTGTGATACATACACCATAAGAGTGGAAGGAACTGTTTAATGTTCTTTATGGTTACAGCATTTATAATTCGGATTACTTTAGTTTTTTGTATGATTACAACAGCAATAGCCTAAAATTTTTATATGTAATTTATCGTGATAAAATGAAGCAATTATCGTGATTAACGTGCAAATGCATAATATTTTATTTTGAATAAGAACCGCTAAGAAAGATTTAAGGTTTTGAATCACATTTATTAAGTATTTTGCTCAATGCCAAGTGGCCCATGTACCCGTTTTAAAATAGAAGAATAATTAAAACAGTAATACAATTTTTCTAATTTAATTTGCTGAGTTTATCAGCTTCAATGATTTTTAATAAAAAGAGTATTTTTGAAATTCCATTGGATTCTTTTAACAATGGAAGACTCTAATTTTCATAATTAGTTCTTTTTTTTTTTTAAATTTAATATTTAATTGAAAAGAAGTTCTAAATTTTAAAAGATTGTGAAAAGAAAAGTATTGCCATTTTTAAATTTTCATCAGACAAGAAAATAAATTTGCATTCAAATTATTTTAAATAAAATTATTCGAACCCGTAACTTACATCAGTTGTAAAATTAGTATTCAAGAATGTTTACATGCTTCTTCTTCTGATTTTTTCTTGAACTGAATTATTTTTGTCACATCCCATGAATTTTGTTAATGAAAAACAAAAATCATTTAAAATATGTTTACATAAACATTATGCAAAAAGAAGATGAAAGCTAAAATGCTATAAGGATTTTTAAGTTTATTCCAAGTGATATTTAAATTTCAATCACAAATCTAGGATATATAACAAATGGTTTGACTCTATTAAGTTTCTTTTATATAGGTACATACATCAATCGTAGTAGATAAATGTGCGTGCAAATAACGTTTATGAATAGAACATGTTGTCCTTTTTTAATTTATTGTTAACAGATAAGTGATTTTCTTTTCAAAATAATTCTTAGAATTTAAAGCATAATGAGAGTTCTGTTTTGTCTGTCTAATGGGAACAATTAAATGAACTAAAATGATAATTAGTATAGCTATTAAAGTTTTTGGTTTTTGTTCTTTAAACTAGAAGCTTATACAAATTTTATCTAATTTACGTTTATTGTAAGAACTTTTGGAATTTTGGTAAATTTAAATTTTATATGTATATAGTTGATGTATAAGTATCCAAATGAACATAACGAAAAACGAGAAGAAGGTTTGAAGCTTACATCCGATTAGATGTGATCCAAACGAAATTAAAAATGCTCATCTAATTTTCCATTGTAGAAAATTTTGCAGTGTAAAGCAATTTCAAAAGAAAATTTCACTCTTTTTAAGTTTTTAACTTCAGTCTTAGTTTTTTATGTGTAAATTATAAGATACCAATGCATTACTGAACTTTCAACATTATGCTTCGTCCAATACAGTTGATCATTTTAATGAATTGTTTTGGGTGAGTTCCCCTACATACATTGCTTTATCCTTCAACAACTCTTGTCAGAATCAAAATTAAAAGTATGGCTTTTGTCCACATGTGTTGTACAAATTTTGTGATTCATGTACAATGTGCATGTTCCTGTGCTTATTGGTATTATACTTCTGGACCTATTTTATTTCCTCCTATTTAGTGCATTAAGAAATTCTAACAGGTAAGAGTCACATGATTTATTAATCTACATCTTCAATTTTTTATTTCCAATAAAATAATATTTAAAATAAAAGACCCACAGGTACAAGACAATTTTTGTTCTTAGGCACGTTTTTGATGTATAATTTAATTATAACATTAAAAATCTTGTCGTCACAATGTATCCTTGATTAAGATGTATAAGACCTCTGTAGTTGAAGAAATATATATACTGCATTTAATATAATATGAAATAAATACTGAAGAGACAAGTCATTAAAAATTTCAAAACTACTAAAATATTTACTTTTTTAAGGTAAAAGACTTATTGCGCTTCTAAAATATTTAAAAATATTATAGATATATAAGTACACAATGTTTGTGGTGTTACATAATCAGAGAAACTTACAATCATATATCACTCAAAAGTCATTTTTGTTTGGATTTTCAAATTCGAAGCCGAGCAATTCCAAAATTTAAAAAAATGGATTTGAGAACGACCTTACTCTGAGTTTTTACAGCTTTTTAACTTTCACCTGTTCAAAAGAGTCGGTGCAATTATATAAATGATACTTGCTTGCCAATTTGCTTGCTTCGAAGTTTGGAAATTTTTAATGAAATAAAAAATTTATTTTTAATTAAATAAGAATTTAGGCAAGTTATCAGTATTCGTCCTACATATAATATTATAAAATCAAACTTTTGACATTCTAAATTGTCATAAGTGAAATAAAATTCTCTTAAATTAATTTTAAAATCATTTAAGAACAAATTGTAAATTTAAAATAATATTTTATAAAATTAATAACTAATGCTAGAGAGAATCGCGTTCTGTGTGAAAGTCATT